TATAAAGAGTAAATATTCTATTCATACGAGTCTATCGTAAAAATCTTGTTGGCATTAAATAACCCATTAAGATTGATATGCCGTAAAACAAATCAAACCAAACCAATAAAATCAATTTCTCTACAAACTGTATATCCAAAAATACATCAATGTTACAAGACCCCTGACAAAAATCCTCTTTACAAAAACACGTCAATGAAACCGATTCTTATAAAGAGTAAATATTCTATTCATACGAGTCTATCGTAAAAATCTTGTTGGCATTAAATAACCCATTAAGATTGATATGCCGTAAAACAAATCAAACCAAACCAATAAAATCAATTTCTCTACAAACTGTATATCCAAAATACATCAATGTTACAAGACCCTGACAAAAATCCTCTTTACAAAAAAACACGTCAATGAAAACCGATTCTTATAAAGAGTAAATATTCTATTCATACGAGTCTATCGTAAAAATCTTGTTGGCATTAAATAACCCATTAAGATTGATATGCCGTAAAACAAATCAAACCAAACCAATAAAATCAATTTCTCTACAAACTGTATATCCAAAAATACATCAATGTTACAAGACCCCTGACAAAAATCCTCTTTACAAAAACACGTCAATGAAACCGATTCTTATAAAGAGTAAATATTCTATTCATACGAGTCTATCGTAAAAATCTTGTTGGCATTAAATAACCCATTAAGATTGATATGCCGTAAAACAAATCAAACCAAACCAACTAGACTGTGCAGTCGACAAAATCAAAAAGAAACAACGCGCATGCGTGAAATTAAATCTTTAAAATAACGACAATCTACACATCGCACCCTATATTTATATATGTATGTATGTATGCATGTATGTATGTGTGTGTGTGCATGTGTGTATCAAAACCATAAGTTTTTGTTTTCTTTTTTGCCTTCATTTAATTAGTCTCTCTTTCTTTTTTCTTTCTTTTTTCTTTATTTCTTATTTTCTTTTTTCTTTCATACTTTCTCTTTTCTTTCTTTTTCTTTCTTTCTTTCTTTCTTTCTTTCTTTCTTTCTTTCTTTCTTCAAAGAGTCTTTATTTCTTTCTTTCTTTTTTTGCTTTCTTTCTTTTTTTGTTTTCTTTCTTTTTGTCTGTTTGCCTTTTCCCTTTCTTTTTATTATTTCACGATTTCTTCTCTCTCTACACCACCTTTTCTAATTATTTCTTGTTTCTCTCACTTGTTATCTCTCCTCCACCCCCCATGCCCATCTCTTTGGATCGCCAATTTCTCTTGCAATAACATAATAATGATAACAATAACAATAATAATAACAAAAAGTGGGTGGCCTTCCTCTAACCTTGGCACAAACTCAGACCAGAAAGATACTCACCCTTGATTCCTCTCGTATTTCCTTTCCTTGTCGTCACTCCTGCTCCTCTTACCTCATTCTAGCAGACACCTTTCATACCCCATAACATGATTTTTACGCCTTGCGTTCGGATTGAGATAAGATGCTAAATTCTTATGTCTGCCCACTGACGTCATCAACATGTCGCCATTATGTGTGCAACAGAGAAACCTAGGATAAAAATTAGTGAGTTATCTCCCTTACTTCTAATGTTACTAAATATGTCTATTTGTTAACCCTCCATCATTTGACACCCTCTAAATCTTTTTTTTTTCTGATAACGCGGTTTGTATCTAACTTTATGTGCCGTGTCGCTTCAGGACGTGGTTGATCATGACTCTCCACTACTTCTTAGCACTAAGCAATGATTAGCTCCTTACTATCTTTTTCCATTAATTTATAAAGGCTCATTACTCGCTCTTTTCCTCTGAGCCCTTGCTTTATGGGTACTAAATTCTCCAAGCACGTTGTTGTTTTTGTTATGTCCTTTTCTGGTCTTAGTCCTGGGCATGACGATAAACTACATCCGGCAGCAAGGCTTCTAGTCAGGAGTCTGGAAGTTTTGAAGAGCGTAGAACGACCTCTTAATTGCTGTTGTTCCCAGGTTCACCCGGACCCGGGGTGGTAGTACCCGTTAGGGTCTCGGCTATGGGCAAATAGTTAACCTGCAAACAAAGCACAATGAAAATATAAAAAATATATTTATGGTAAAAATACCAGCAATATATTGCTACACCTCGAACCGCGCTAATAACTTGGTAAAGAAATTTAAGATTTCTCGGTTTTCTCTGAATTAATTTTGATAAAACATTTCCCAGCTAATTTGCAAAATACGGCAACACCATTGTTAAATTTTCATTATTCTGTGTAACGTCTTTTATTTTTTTTATTTCGGATTCGACATTTTTGGGTGAATGACGCTAATAGATTTTGAAAGAAAATATCTCATTTAGACATTTTTGGAGAAAATGAAGGATAATGATACATATTAAGCATACCTTTGTATATTAAAGAAAACCATAATATTATGAAATTTATGGACATAATGAATTATTTGGCCACATGAGCGCCATTTTGGCGGATAACTTCAAAAACGAAATTAGTCATGGAATGAGTCAATTTTTGTTATAGTAACAGGCTGGACTGCCTCTTCATCAGCTTTGCCCATAATATAACTGACGTCGATCGGGAAAAAAAAACATCTTGTTTAATGAGGAACCAAAGATTTTCGATAGGTTTGCGTTCTGGAGATGCTGGCGGCCACACCAACAAACTTTTACCTTTTATGCTGTGAGAGCGTAGGAATGTTTGAGTGGCCTTGGCAGAGTAGGAGGGAGCATTGCCATGCATGAATACTAGAATTCTTAGAAGTAACAACGGTATGTCACCTAACCAGGGATTCAAGAGCATCTTTAGGAAATTGCGCTTTAAATCTTTTTGGCACCCTGACTGGCCTACAAGTCTGTCCCTAATGATACCAGCCCACGACATGACCCCTCCATGCTGTTGTTGACGTCGTAAACGTTGGTGACGCTCATCTCCGAAATAGATCCAACCATTGAACACACCACCACGTGAACTACCAATTTTTGCTACAACTTGCTACAGGCGAGTCGTCTTCCCCCCCAACCAATAACTCTCTTTACCAATGTTTAAAATCTCACTCCCACCATGACACACACTGTTTTTTTTGCTAATACATTTTTCACTGGAAAATAACCCATCAACAAAAAAAACATGTCGGTATGTAATTCCCATTTCCCTGTTTGTTCCTTGGACCGTTGAAGAAGGACACAGGCGTGTCCGAAAATTCCGAAGATAAAAGTTGGTTAGTAATCTAATAAATATTGTTAGTATTTAATAAATGTTTATCGCACTGATTATATTGGCACACATTCGCTTGTCTATTTTTTTATTAAACAACCTATCTACATTTAATTATATATATATGTATATATATATATATATGTATAATGTGACAAAATATAGTTTTAAGATGTGATATATTTATGGGCTAAAGTCACAGAGCCAACCTGTGGTTTATACTGAAATTATGCTGTGTAGGCCTTTGTTTCTGGGAGAGAGCGTATAATCTGGGATAATTAGCAGTTGCAGCAATTGCTAGCGCAACCATCGTTAACATCCGTACAGTTTCGTCTACCCAAATTCACACAGAAGGATTAGGTCAAACCGACGTATAGTTTTCAGGCACTTTCCGAAGGTACGCTGGGGACCACCTCCCCAGGACGATAGCATTAAAAAGTCACCTATAGTGAGACTCGAACCTGACTTACGTGGTCAGAAAGCGATCATTCTGGGACACTCAGCAACACACACACACACACCTAGACCTACATATATATATATATATATATATATATATATATATATATATATGTATGTATGTATAAAGGAGAGAGAGGGGTAGAGAGAGAGAGATAGAAAGAGAGAGAGGAGAGAGAGAGAGAGAGAAGCATTCTTTAGTCCAAGGAAGTCTTTTCAATTGGCGAAATGTGTCAATAAGAATTTTTTATATTTGTCATTCAATTACCCACAATTCACTGGTATATGGAGTTTGTATATGATATTCTCCCATAAAATATTATATATGCATAAATAAATGAACAAGGAGAGATAGATAGATAGATAGATAGACAGACAGACAGACAGACAGACAGACTGATGGCAAAAATCTTAAGGCTAACGAAAATAAAGAAAAAATATACTTTCCGCTTATTTGAATAGAACTTCGAAATATGGAAATAAGGAAATGAAAAATTAAAATTAGAAACTTTTTTTCGCATTTAACAGGGAAATTTTCAATACTGCGAGTTAAAGTAAATACTAGCTGGTCAAATATTTAAGACAATATTTAAACCGAAGCTTTCATTCGTAAACGCGTAACGAAGTTTAGTAATTTGCATTCGAACATTAGCGAAGTCAACATCACCCACTGATATTAGATTAGGTAAATACATGGCAAAGGCTAAAATGTTGAGAGTGCTTGAACGTGGCAGAATTGCTGATCTGCAAAAGAAAGCTCTCTCTCACAGCGTGCTATCCCTGGTTAGATTGGACGTAATAAAACTACTGTTGCAATTTTTAAAAAGTCCCTGAGGGATATGGAGCGAGAATATCAAGTTGTCAGCCCCCAAAAATTTTTTCGGCGTCGAGTCGGAAGATTCGTTCGGCCTTCCGCCAAGACACCAGCCGATCATCGAACCAGATTAAGACCCTTACGGACGCAGAATGCAGCACAAGAACAATAAGATGGCTTCTCCGACGGAAAGGCGTTAAAAACGTCTTCAAAGTCCACACCTCTTTCCACATCACAATACGGATCGGTTAGATTTGAGAATTGCCAAACATGCAACATTTAAGAAGATTCTGTTCCCTGGTGAGAAAGAATTTAACATTGATGGTCCAGATAGCTTCCAGCATTACTGGCATGATAAGGATATTCCACCGGAGACTATTTCTACACAGTTCCATTATGAGCTGAGGTGCTATCTGTTTCCAAGGAAAAATCGAGTGTCAAACCGCGGTTGGTTACATTGGCATATTGGAGAGAGAATCCTTATTGACTAAAGCCCCCCCCCCTTGTGTGGAAATGGCTGAATTTTTCAGCAGGACAACGCTGCAATCCATAATGCTTCTAGGACAAAGGACTTTTTCATGGCGAATAACGTTATTCTTTTGAACTAACCAGCGTGTTCACCCGACGTAAACCCCATTGAAAATGCTTGGGGATGGATGTCAAGGGAAGTCTATAGAAATGGACGTCAATTCCAAACACATGGCCAAGTGGATAAAGGCGTTGGTTAGATCCAATGACTAGACCCGAAGAGTTATGAGGTTAATACCAGGTTACAGAACCAAAAGACTTGGAGAGTTGCGTTAAAGGAAAATAACTGAGACATCCGGGAGAGACAGGACACGTGAAACTAGAATAATCTATCTTAGTGAACGAAATAAAGAGTTCCGTTCGAAATTCCAATCACCTGAAGAATGCCGGAGCGTATAACGTCCGAAATGTTGTGAATATGGCAATGAAGATGAGGATAACTGTCCGAATGATATAAATAATCATAATATCTCATCTCAAAGATATAGACGGATACTTCCAAACACTGCATGCTCTTCACAAAGTCATCATCATCACTTGTAAAATCATTCCAGCCAGCACTCTGCAGACACTTATATCGAGAATACCAAAGTGAATTTTTGAAATTCTTCACAACGGCGACCGGCCAACTTACAACTGAGCACCCCGTGAGGAACGTCCTCACTACTCAGTCGTAATTGATCTAGAAAGACAAACTGCTTTTCTCATGATTACATCACGTCGAAGTGCCGGTGATCATTTACTAAGCAGAGCTTGGATGTTTCACAACGTTGAAGTTGGTAAAACAAATGAGGATAAAACACATTAGTCAGTTTGTCATTCAATACAACACGTTAATGTATCCGAACTGGGTAATTGTCTTTACTCTTTATAAAAAAAAAATTACACAACAGTTACATATGAGTTTCTAAACATTTGCCTGAGTATCATGAATAAGAAGGATACGCTGCAAATAAACAAATTCCTGATAAAAATCTTTATTTTGGCCGCCATTTTCTCAACCTTTTTCTCTTTTACGTTTCGGTTAAAAAACAACTACGCCCCGCCAAAGTGTAAGACCGGTAACATCAAAGAGCAAGGCAAAAAAGACAAAAAAAAACAAAAAAACAAAAAACAAAAAAAAAAACAGCAAAAAACAAACAAAAAAAGAAGAAGTTGTCAGAAGTGTATCAAAGGGATATAACCTGACTGACGAAGGTAAATTTTCCTGATATATATATATATATATATATATATATAAAAACACACACACACACACACACACACACACACACACAAACACACACACACACACACACACACACACACACATATATATATATATATATATATATATATATATATATATATATATATAGATGGTGTAACTTAGGAAGGGTTACTGAATGAGAAAAAAATGGAGGTTGGAAATAAAATGGTAATCTTTATAACATCAGCAAAATACAATACTCGCCAGCGGTGTGAAGTAGGTAAACCACCATAGTGGTGGACTACTTAGGCAGCATATTACCCCCCCACACTTACAATAGTGTCCAATGTATTTATGACAATTGGAACATTAGTGTTCATAGACACGGTATATAACACTATTTCTCTCTCTGTCTCTTCCTATCTATCTATCTATCTATCTATGCCATTCTGATTATCTATCTATCTGTTGTAACCTAGAAAAGGTTACTGAATGAGGAATAACCAAAACGGAGTCTGGAAATGAAATGGTAATCTTTATAACATCAACAAAATACAATACTCACCAGCGGCGTGAAGTAGATAAACCCCTGCTAGTGGTGGACTACTTAGACACCATATTACACCCACTTACAATTGTGTCCCACGTATTTATGAGGATTGGGACATACCCATTAGTGTTCGTAGATACGGTATATAACAATATATTTGGTGCAACAGGAAACATTGTCCAAATTGTGTAACAGCAAATTTGTCCAATTGTTACAATTAAAATTTGAACTGTTGTATCTTAGAAATGATTAAAGATATCTTACTGGAATTTTACGAGGTTTTTATAACAATATTGGACTCTACTTCGAACGTTAAGAATGTATTTAGCTCTAAGTTGAAAGGATAATTCCTCTTGCTGTTGTGATCTCCCGATCCAGTTTTCCTCTCTAGTGTTCCCTCTTTTTAAAACCTATTCACTGTTCTCTAGATGGTTCTTCAATGAACGTTGAACATAGAAGCCAGAATATGAATGTTGGCACCATTACTGAAGCCCTGAATGATCTTTTTCCTTTCACCATTGCTCAGTTAGGAAGACACAAAACGATTTTAACCTGTTCTCTTTCTAACTGAATAACTCAAAGGACTTTTTAGTGATTCTTGATTTTTAGATATTAAACATGCAAAAAAAAACAAAAAAAAAAAAAAACAAGTACAAAACTTTGTTATAAATTAAATCAAACCAAATTTTGAGGCGAAAAGTATTTGTACAAAATATGTATTTTGTAAGATTTTGCTAGATTTTTCCAAGATTCAGTTATTGATTATATATGTGACAAACCTTTATTTTTCCTACAGAAATGAAGTTGTCATTTCGTTGGGCAAAAAAAAAAAAAAGGCTCCAGCAACTTCGAAATTTGAATTGTCAAGATTCTATTTTTTGACCAATCAGAGTAGAGCTCACGAAAAAGTTGCTACATTTTTTGACAGTTGCAGACGATATTCTTTTTAAGAATAATGAAGGAACAAACCACAGCAAAATCACAGTATTTTTTTGCTCTTGAATTGTCGAATAAAACAATTACCAAAATATATTTTTAATCAAAGATAATTTAGAAGTAATTCTTAATTTTAGATCAAGTTAGGAGTTTATTGTTTTTCTATAAACTTCGATGGCTCATCTGAGTTATACAGCTTTCGATAAAAATTTTGAACACTTCATCTTTTCCGATTACTCATTTTTAAATTTGTGCTATCTATACAGATCTTTTATATGTAATTCCATTTCCTTTTGCTGTCAGTATTGTCTGCAATGTCTACACAATTACAACTGCATTATCATCAGCCAAACTTACCTACTGTTGCGTTACTGTTGTTACTGCTGCTATATATACATATATGCAATGAACATAAACAATAAGCATAATTGTCTGTATTAAAAATTTTCATGAGTAAAACAAGGAAGCTTTATCAGCTTACAGACAGATAGTAATAGAAAAAAACAATTGAATCATCAGATAAACGTGTGGAGCGAGAACGGAAAATAAACACCAAGACAGTCAAACACTAGATGACAAAAAATGGTTTCTGAGTCGCGGGGTTGCGCATTGTTCCGGTTAATATATAATAATACTTTGGAAATAGATATCTAACCTTTTTCCACCAACAGGTTGCCTTCCCGCCAAAAATTAAAAAAAACAAACAAACAAAAAAAAAACAACAACATATTTCGTGGTCCCTTTGAAGGCTATTTAAGCAAAGTTTCTAGACAGGTAAACGAGTAAGGAGAGACAACAGCAACAGACAGCAACAGGACGCGAACTGGACTTAAAAAGAATTCCTTTACACTTTCACCCGTCTTCCTACGTGGCACTTACACTTTCCACCTCACTTTCTTACATTTGCACTCGAAGAAATCACATTTCCTTTAATCTTGGAAAACAACTATAAACAAAGGACTATTAGAATTTTAACAGTCGCACACGTTAAGAAAAATTTAGTTGTAAAAAAACGCAAAAATAAAAATATTTTGTATTTTTATATTTAAACACTCTTTTCCGCCTTTTTGTTCTGCTGTCGGTTGATTTAAATCCAGAAAAAAACTCCCGTGTTTTTTTATGTTTGACTTTGATATTATGCCACTTTGTTAATGAACATTTTTAAATTATAAATAAATTTGTTAAATTTGTACAAGTGTTTCAACTTCAGTTTACCAACAATGTTATACAGGAATCCCTCGATTAATGCAGCTAATGCGTACATCGGTAAGTATAAAAAAAATCATTTTTCAATAACTATGGTTAAACTGAAGAATATTTTTCCGCACTAAGCGAGTACTATGTATGCACCAATCAAATTTTAGTAAAAAAATTTAGCGCACCAATCGAAAATGCATTAATCGAAAACGCATTAATCAAATGTGCATTAATCGAGGGATGTCTGTACTGCTTTAAAAACATGGAGTTCCATCAGCAAAATTAGTGACTTCCGACGTCATCTTATTGAAATAACCATCATATCAGATATCAGGCTATGCTCTTATTGATACAACTTCATAGATATCATGCAGTAATAATAGTGACATATTGTTTAAATTGGAAACTTCCGACGTCATCGTATTGAACTAGCCATCATATCATGTATTGATGCAACTTCGTAGATATCATACAATAATTGTGAGATATTGTTTAACATCTGACAATGTAGGCAGGTGCAAATAGAAACAAAGAGATAAATAAATGAAAAAAAAAAAAACACCAGACGAAAAGCGAAAAAAAAAAAAGTAAGAAAAAGATAGCAGACTGGCTGACCTCTTTTAATGTCGTCTAGTGACGTAATTATTAAAACTGTTGGTGTCTGTCTGACGTCACAAACGAGGAACCCTATCGTTTTGAGTTACTCTTGCTGAGAGTGATGCGCGGTGGGCCGCCTTTTCCTCTGCCCACTTACAATGGGGGAATTTGTAGCGACCCCATGCGGTTGACTTCAAAAGAACTGATGCAATTCCGTTCGGTTATACATTTCAAAATGGGTAAAGTGTGGGGGGGGGAAATATCGACTGGGGTGAGGTGGAAAGAAAAAGCGAAACGTTTGAAAGAGTTCGTGGGGTGGGGACTAAAATGAAAACCAAATTCGAAAGGAAATAAACTGACAAATAGAAAGAGCGTGTGAGAGTGAGTAAGGGATAAAAAAAGAGGGAAAGAAAGGAAGAAGAAAGAGAGAAGAGAAAAGAGAGAATGGCGCAGAGTAAAGGCTGAGGAGACAGAATAAAATTGTAGCTAAACAAAGAAAGAGTGAGACAAAGAGAAAGAGAGACGTCCTCATGGAACAATTGTAAACAAGTTCCTCGTTTAGACTCTTAGTAGCATAATAAGATCGATCCTCACTTTGTATTCTTGACTTGTAAGGGACACTATGATAAATTTATTACATACTAGCAGTAGAGCCCGGCGTTGCCCGGGGATGTAACAGTAAGAGATAAATCAAGTATCGACCATCATAAAGACTGAAAAATAAAATTGACAAAGATTATTGTTTAAGGTTGTTTTTTTTTTGTTTTGTTTTTTTTAACGAATTGGTCAAACCCAAACTCAAACAAAAACATTGTTTTCAATCGTTATGAGTCTACCGATTGAATAGAATTTTATTATAAACAATTGTTTTGTAAATGGAATTTTGAGACCATTCTGAATGTAAAAATAAAGAAAAAAGTGTGCAAGGCAATAAGAAACAGTATCTGCCAAAAAACAAAAAACAAAAAAAAACATGAAGTTTTGTTGAAATCGGTTGAAAAATGTAGGAAATCCGATCCTATATATAAATGAACATACACACACACAAACAACCTGGGTTTTTTATAATAAGTATAACTCGATATGAGTTGTCCCCCTTTCATTCTCGCGATGCCTCTTAATCGTGTTTTCAAATTGATTTCGTGCAAAAACAATTGTGGTTTTTTTTCAATTTTTGGCGCTGTCAGAACCACCGCAAGGTAATTTTACGTAGTCCTGTGAAGTTTTGTTGAAATCGGTTGAAAAATGTAGGAAATCCGATCCAATATATAAACATACAGACACACACACAACCTGGGTTTTATAATAAGTATGATAAAGAGTGAACAGAGTCAGATTAGAGAAATAACGAACATACTTTACAGGAAGATCATCTTCAAATTACATACAATCAATTTTTGTAAGCAAATCGCCCCAAGCAAGGCGGGAGTGACACTAGCACGTAAGGGGTTACAGAGATTGAGAATAAAAGTAAAGAGGAGTATTTGGGAAAAGGATAAAGAGAAGAACAGGGATCAAGGTCAAGGCATCAGAAGATGTCGATTGACATTACATTTGAATATTTGAAGATTATAGCTATCAGGGAAACAAGTGATAGGAAGGGCGTTCCAATTGACGGGAGGTACGCGATAAGACGCTGTTGGAGTAGAAAAGATGGCTACATTTAGCCGTTTCGATAGTGAAAGAGTGGGACCGAGATGCCAACCTAGTAGCACGCTTAAATTCATGCAGTTTGGGAACCAGTGAAAGTAGCTCGCCGGAGCAGTTGCCATGAAAGTACTTATAGAAAAGACAGAGGGAAGCCGAAGCACGTCTGAGAGATAGCGACTGCACACGTGATGCCAGATCAGGGACAACCACTTAGGGAGAAATGAAAAATCATTAATATGTATCTATTTATATTGCTCGGAATATCATCCTCATCTTTGTTGCCATATTTATCACAACCTTTCGGGCGTTGTACGCTCCGGCCTTCTTCAGGCGGTTGGAATGTCGAACTGAACCCTTTATTTCGCTCGCTGGGGTAGACTGTTCTAATTCCACTTGCCATGTCTAATGGATGTCAGTTATCAGTTTTCTCCTGTTAATTCCCCTCTTCAAGTTCTCTACCACCTTAAGCAGGTATTGAACTCACACTGTTTAGGTCCTGGATCTAACTATCGCCTTTATCCACTGTGCCACGTGTCCTTGAGGAGATTACTGATGACTGACATCTGTTAGACATGGCAAGTGGAACTAGAACAGTCGACACCAGCGAGCGAAATAAAGTGTTCAGTTCGACATTCCTAACACCTGAAGAAGGCCGGAGCGTACAACGGCCGAAACATTGTGATAAATATGGCAACGAAGATGAGTATGATAGTCCGAGCAATGTAAATAGTGTAATAATACCTTATTTCAGAAATACAGACAGATACTGTGGAGCAACTTAATCCGAACACAATATTATCAGCTAAACAACTTAAAAGAATCCAAGTCCCGAAAGAAACCAGATTTTACATGAAAATATATTCTAAAAATCATAAACACCTTCCTTTTCTATATTGCTCGTAAAACTTTCTACCCAAACCGGGGCTTAATAAAAAAAAAAAAACTTCCTTGTTTCTTCTGAATCATATTGCAACCCTTGATTTCTAATATTAAATAATTCCGGTATTAAATAATCCACATAAGAGATATAAGGTGAATTATGGGTAGGTACAGAAATGGGTAGGCGAAGAAGTGAAAATAGAATCAGACTGATTAAAATTGAGAGAAAAACAGAGACAAAAAGAGATGAAGCGTGAAAAATAGAAGAAGAAGAAAAGAAAGGAGATTTAGAGAGAAATGTGTTAAATTGATAATATGAAAGAAATATGACAGAAGGAAGAAACAAGAGAGAAACAATATCCAAAGTAAACGGTTTTTTTTTTTCGAGCGGACTTTCCCATCAAGGGAAGGGCTGAACGGAGTTCGTTTCCCTAAAGGGTGTTTTATTTGCACGCATTTATTTTATCAATTTATGAATTTACCGTGAAGACTACACGCGTTGATGCAGGTATCACTTCTTTCTTTCTTTCTTTCTTTCTTTCTTTCTTTCTTTCTTTCTTTCTTCATTTCTTTCTTTCTTTCTTTCTTTCACCCTCATCACTATCTTTCTTTTTTTTTCTTTAACACACACTTCTCTCTTTTGCTTTTCTTTCTTTCTTTCTTTCTTTCTTTCTTTCTTTTTTCTTTCTTTCTTTTCACCCTCATCACTATCTTTCTTTCTTTTTTCTTTAACACACACTTCTCTCTGCTTTTCTTTCTTTCTTTCTTTCTTTCTTTCTTTCTTTCACCCTCATCACTATCTTTCTTTCTTTTTTCTTTAACACACTTCTCTCTGCTTTTCTTTCTTTCTTTCTTTCTTTCTTTCTTTCTTTCTTTCTTTCTTTCTTTCACCCTCATCACTATTTTTCTTTCTTTTTTCTTTAACACACACTTCTCTCTGCTTTTCTTTCTTTCTTTCTTTCTTTCTTTCTTTCTTTCTTTCTTCTTTCTTTTTCCTTTCGCCCGCACTTTTTTCATCCTCATCGCTCTCTGTCTTTCTTTTTTCTTTAATCCACACTTCTTTCTTTCTTTTTTTCTTTCTTTTCTTTCTTTCTTTTCTTTCTTTCTTTCACCCTCATTACTATCTTTCTTTCTTTTTTTTTTAACACATTTCTCTCTGCTTTTCTTTTCTTTTCTTTTCTTTCTTTCTTTCTTTCTTTCTTTCTTTCTTTCTTTTATTTCTTTCTTTCACCTCATTACTATCTTTCTTTCTTTTTTTGCTTTTAACACATTTTCTCTCTGCTTTTCTTTTTTCTTTCTTTCTTTCAGAATTTTCTTTCTTTTCTTTCTTTCACCCTCATTACTATCTTTCTTTCTTTTTTCTTTAACACACATTTCTCTCTGCTTTTCTTTCTTTCTTTCTTATAACTCTCTGCCTTTCTTTCTTTCTTTCTTTCTTTCTTTCTTTCTTTCTTTCTTTCTCCCGCACTTCTCGCTGCCTTTCTTTCTTTCTCATATAGATATGAGATTAATTGTAACGTGATATTTAGTGAATACACGTGTTTGATTAGACATTCCCTTTTTAAAGTAAATTTCCGCCTACCGTCTTGTACATTTGAGATACTTTATTAAGTATCTCGAATGTACACGACAGTAGGCGTAAATTTAAAGAGAATGCAACTACATTCAGGTTTCGAACCTGTGTTACCTTATGTTTTTATTTATTCTACTTACGTCAAGTACCTCTTCGAGTTCTGTTAGCAACATGTAAGCAAATACTACCATATAGTCGGCTCATCGACGACTAAACCGGTTCTCCACCAGAGAGGCGGTTATCAATATTTATAAGACAGCCTGTTACCATACTGTGTTAATATCTATGTACACATTCTTAATATCTATATATGTACAGACGCGGTCTTAGACGCTCTTCCTCTATGAATATAGAAGATTTTGGACTACATATGAAAAAACACATATTTACCGACCAAGAAATCTCGTAGAAAATATGCGTCCTCCGACAGGAATCGAACCTGTATCCCATATGGAAACCATCAATTGGCCTGACGTGCTGCTTGTCAATTCAGCCATAGGGGACCACGGCTTTAGCAAAGTTCAAATTACTGCTTATAAACACACAAATTTGACGACCTTTCTCGATATTATGCTTTTATTTCTGCCTAACGAAAAACTACCTAATTTGTCACTTTAACTTTTCCTTTTATTCTTTTCTTCCAATACAATTTACTACTTGTAAATTATAAAGTCTTGACGAATTTTTTTTTAATAGATATCATTTTTGTCCAATCCAAGTAAGTTTTAACATTATAATCTGTCATGGATTTGTGTTGAAATCGATTTTTCCTTTTTTTGCGGTTTTTCGTTAAACGCAGTGACATATAAATAAAAAATAATACTTCGTTCAACTCGTCATGGTGTAATTAACCTACATACCGAGTTTGAACAAAATCGAAGGAAAAAAATTGCTGAATTTATCGATTTTTGATCGGCTTTATCGATTATTAATTTAAAAAAAATAACGTTATGTTACACTAAGAACCTATCTCCTACATTGTACAATGTATGTACCAAGTTTGGTCAAAATCGGTTGGATGGATCTTGAGTGAAAAGGTATCACACAGACGGACAATCAGTCACACAGACATCCTCTGTTTTATATATAGAGATAGTATTTTTGTATTATTCTGATTAGTCTGGATAATGAAAAACTATAGGGGAAAAAGCGTTGGCAAATATAAAAAAAAAACATATCAGCTTCAACACGAACCAAGAGCAATAAATCTTTCCTGACCATTTTCCCTTCTCACTGACCCCGGCAGGTGAAACGGAAACGAATATCAGTCGAAATTAAATTAGCTAATGAGGCAACATATATCGGACGGGTGGTCAGTCACCAGGTAATGTCGAAACGAATCGCCGGACGCCATTCCACCATTTTACTGAAAGAGCTAGAATCAAGTGTAGATGGAAATGCTTGCATGAAACGAAGTTTTTCGTAAATCC